TAACCTGTGAGATCTGATCGGTCTATGGGAGGTAATCGGCAGGAGGGGGTCTCTCAGGTACTCAGGTCCAATGCCATGTAGGGCTTTATAAGTAGCAACCAGCACCTTGAAGCGGGTCCGGAGACTAATGGGTAGCCAGTGCAGCTCGTGGAGGATAGGTGTAACATGGGTGTACCTTGGTGCACCCACAATCACTCGCGCGGCTGCATTCTGGACTAACTGAAGTCTTCGAACACTCTTCCTTGAAGAGCCATCTCCAATCTAATATCTCATGGGAAGCAGAGCTCCTAGCCTTCTGAATCTTCAGAAAGTCTTGAGTGACCTCTTTTCTGAAGTTGCAGCTAAAAGTAAGTCATGCTTCTCTGGACAACATGCCTGAAACGCTTTCGGATGGAGTTGATAGGGCTCAAGGTGGCCTCAGCCTTTCATTTTTCCAAAATTGGTAGAATGGGGACCCAGGTTGTTGGAGGCAATATGCTGACTCTGTAAAGCGCTTAGGGAGGGCTGTAAAGCACTATGAAGCAGTATATATGTCTAAGTGCTATTGCTATTATGTATTTGCCACAATCTGTATACAGTACAATTCCTATGCCAAACTGAGGAGTGTAAAGATTTACAAACAAACAATTACATTTAAAAAGAAACAGCTACAGCGCAAAGAAGACTTTAAGGTTGACATGCTTTCAGTGGTCATTGTATTGCTGAAGGAAGAGCATCTCATTTCATTTGTAGTACCTTGCATTGAGGTAGTTGTGTCTATGCCTTGAGCTTTACTCATCACTGCATTGCAAAGGCTTTCCATGAGGAAAATAATGTTTATAGAGTTAAATGTTTCAGGGTGGTGATAATGTTTGTATTGGCATTGAGTAAAGTCTTTGGTCCATTATTCTGATTCTTTTAGTTTACCCAAGACCTGTGCCTTCTTGGAAAGGGAAGAAGGACAGCACTACATGGCTATTTTTCAGTCTCTCCGTTTACATGGCATTACTTCAAGTAAGCTTACCTTTTTCTGTGATTATTCAGCTGATCTAAATTTTGTGGTGACAAAAAACAATGCTTATTTGTAAACATCCATCAAATCAGTAAGATTTCTATCAACATACCGTTTTATATGGTACTTTATAGGGTTCACCGACAAATGTGCGCTCGACAAAACCGTGCCGACAAAACCGGGGGGGGGGGAAAGTGCGCGTTCGAAATCGCGCCGACAAATGAGCACAGAAGCACGCCGACAAAAGAGTGCCGACAGAAGCGCGGTCTAAGCCTAACCCTAAAGGTAACCCTAAACCTAACCCTAAACCTAACCCTGAACCTAACCCTGAACCTAACCCTG